TTGAAGATGCCTGATGTTTAAGAATTAAAACATCTCCAAAGTCATGAACCCTAAATTTCCATTTTATTATTAGTTAAGCAGGTGCCGCCTTAAACTTATGCACACAGATTCTTGATTTGATTTATCATCTTCGTCAGTTTTATTTATTGTTTTAGGGAGCAAAACAATTTGTTTTTCTTTCCTTTTCCACACGCTTATTGCTTTCCTTCCACTTTCATTGTGGTTTGTCTGTCCATCAAGTTGCATGATATGTGATCAAGCCTCTCCACCAACTGATTTTTCACCGACTCATATAGCCACTTTTCTACCCTCAATTCCTTGTTTTTTTTCTTTTCACATTATAATTATTGGGTAGGCAGGTAGTATCAATTATGACAATTCTTTTATAATTTCTTTGGAAAGATTATATTTAGCAAGACTTCAATGAGAGAAACTTATTTGCACATTTTTGTGTGCATCTAATTTAGAGAGTGTCACAAGTCATAAATATGATTTGCATTGGTGTCACTTATTATTGTGGAAGACATTGTAAATATACATACAAAACAACTGCATAATAAATATTTTTTTTTTTTTAAATTCACCCCAAGCAAGGCAATAATGCCACTGGGAGTGAAAGAAAATTAGAAGACTAGAAGTAATTGCAAACCCAATCTGAAATAGAGAGCAAAAGGTTAGACCTCTACTCCTGTGCAAAAGATAGGGGAGCAGTGTAAATTATATATATATATATATATATATATATATATATATATATACACATACACAAGAGAGAAACTGCAAAATAAAAATATAAAAATCCACATTACAAGCAAAAACGTTTGCAGTTTTTCTCTTTTTAAAATATACACTTTTCTTTCATTGGAACAACTAACCATTTCCATATATATATGTGTGTGTGTGTGTGTGTGTGTGTTGTGGACAAGGAAACATGGAACACCAGCATGGATGTCCATTCAAAACTCATAGGATAACCTGAGAATACTACTGAAAAATTCAAGAAAGAAAACAAGATATGATATAATGTTGAGAGGGAAATAATTTATTTTCATTTTTAACAATATTAACATATAAAAATACAAGGAATAAATATGAATAATAAACCCCTACCAAATCAAAGAGGAAGAAAAATAAGAAGGGGGGGGGACCAAAAAAAAATTATATATATATATATATATATATATATATATATATAGTGGGGTGGTAACAAGAAGTCACAAGGAGGGAAAAAAAAAGTAAATTGGATTCAAATACGTTATCTTCAAGATTTTATATACATGTGATAGTTTACAATTTTTTTTTTTTGTGCGTGTAGAAAAAGGCCAGTAAGAAACAATTTTATATCGAATAGGATTGAGTTGCTTTTTCAAATTATCATATATATATATGATAAAAAAAAAAAAATCACCAGTGTTAAGGCAAATTTTGTGCATAAATTCTGCTGAGTTATCTCCCCTCCGATTTTAGCTGTGTCTGTATAAAATATTTAAAATAGATATATATCTGCAAAGATTTTACGAAATCATTAATTTTTTTTCCCTTTTATCAGAGTATCCCGTTTGTTGTTTTTTTTGGGGGGTGGGGGAGGAAGAAATAAAAAATGTTCCATATGTTGGAATAAAATAATGCAATAAATTCAAAGTATTTTTTTGTGGGGGTGGGTGGGGGTTGGAATCATACCACTTAGGATTGTGACTTTTACAAAACAGACAGCTGATGAGAATAAGGAAAAAGCATCTGGACTAATTTGGCCTGGTATTTATCAAAGTTACATGATGGGTTATAGTATCATTAGTACTTTTAAACACTAATAATATTTTTATGATTTTTTTCAGTCCTCCATAACTCAGTGAAATTTTTTTTTTTTTTTTTGGTACAAAGATCTAAACTCATACAGAGTAGGTTATTATAAATTCTTTAGGGAAGAAATTAGTCTATACTATGGAAGTGCATCTATTAGTTTAATATCTACTTATTTCCACCAAAACATCAATTGTAGATGCCTGCTGTTTAAGGCCTTAAAACATTTTATTTCCAAAGGCATGAACCCTAAGTTCCCCTTTTGTTATTAGTTAAGTGGGTGCTGCCTTAAACTTATGTACACAGAATCTTGATTTATCATCTTCATCAGTCATAAAAGACTTCTTTAGACTAAATTTTATTTATTTATTTTTTTATTAAATGGATGTTGGGGTGGGAGTGAGGAGTCAGAAAATTAATTTAAATCATTTAATCTAAAGAAATGTTTTTGAAGCATGAAATGCGTCAAATAGGATTTTTTACCATTTTGTCATTACACAAGTTAAATGATAACCATTTACGAGGGGGTGCTGAAAAGTGTTTTTTTTTTTTTTTTTTTTTTTTTGTTTGTGCATCCCCCTGATCAATATCAAGGTTTTGTCTCACAAACAAGATTCAGGAGGGGGACCCATATATGTCACATTAATTGTAGTTGGTTTTTAAGATGTATGTAATATACCAGGCTGGTATGTATTACCTCCTGACCAGAGGGGACCTGACTGGGAGCCCCAGTTAGTGCTATGCCACCCTCCTCATTCTCTTATCAACATTTGCTGTTTTCTATCTACATTTATATAAGTCACAAAATTAAACCAAGCACAACTGATTATTAAAGGACAAATTTTTTGCAGTCTTTGACGTAATTTGAGGACATTTTTTCTTCATCTAAATCCTTTTGCTCGTGCTAAGTCTTGAAAAAACACCATACAAAATTCACTATTTTTTTATCTATAATGTTAAATGTGTTAAAATTATTCAACTTTTTAACAAAAAAAATCTCAAGCTGATGTTATAAATTGCTGCAAAACATTGATTTATTTAAGATGGGATGATCTATTATGACATGTCTCTAATTTGTATTTAGATACATTGTATTTATTTTCAAATTTTTTATTTGAATTGTTCACCTATATTACATCTGATTAATTATTGTACATAATTAGGTTAGAATAAAATTTATATTTTATATGAATTCTGCCTTATGAAAATTGAGATGTAGTAGAGTGGGGGGAGGCATGAGGATAGACAGGTTTTACATGGTGGATGAGTGAGTAGGAATGGAGGCTGGTAGGAGTACAAAAGGTTATGGCACACTAAGTTTCCAATGCCCTCTTAAAAATATTGAAAACTTTCTCACATATCTAATATAATCCTCTGCTAAATACCTTGGCTGTGTTATGTGTCTGGCTACTTGCTTCCAAGCACACGTGTTAGCTAAGGTAGTTATCCAATACTTGTTACAAATGCCAGCTCAGGTACATTTATTTTTGATCTCACCTGTGACTTATATTGCAATTTTGCTGAGCAGACCATAGTTACAGTTTCTGGTAGAGATCACATAATGGAGTGTCAAAAGGACAGCCCCCCCCCTTGAAAGTGCAATTATGTTAACTCTTCAGCAATGTTTATTATTTTAAAAAGCAAAGTTTAGAATTTTAATAAAACTTAAACACATGAAAATTAATTTATAAATTTTCTTTGTTCTTGAGAGTTGAGAATAAAAATAATAAACACCATTTAACCATTTATTAGATTGTTTATTTAGACTATATTTATTGGAATGGTTGGTAAAACATCAGCTAATTGTCAATTGATTCAAACTTTATAAAATGGTAAATAATGATTTCCTTAATTGGTTCACATATTTGATTAATTTAGTAAATTTCTATAAATTTATGAATAAAAAAATCGTTTTCATATTCATTTCTTTATAAATTTAAAAAAAATAAATATTGCAATTGTATTAGTTTTTTTTAGAAAGTTGTAAATATAAAATTCTTGTAAATAAACAATCTAATAAATAAATAGTATTTAATATTTTTGCTGTAAATTCTCAAGAACAAAAAAGATGTATAAATTCATTTTCATCATATGTTTAGGTTTTATTAAAATGTCAAGGAATGAAGGTAGTTAAAATGATAGCAATGTCAAGAGAAAAACTGTCCTCTTGACATTGCTTTTTTGTGGGCACAAAGGTTCAAGACTGCCAATATTTCTTTAAATTTTTTTTTTTTTCAAAAACATTAATATAATATTTAAAGTACTAAAGAAAGAAAATGTACCACAAGTTTTTATGTTACCAATGCTGTCAGATCAATGATTCTCAAATGGCAGGCACACTTGGCTTATAAGGGAGGGACTTAACCAGAGGAGGAATTTCAGTCCTAAGTGGAAGAAAAAGAATTACTCGATGACTCTACTCAAAATAGGAAACTTAAGGAAACCTGGAATTTAAGAGGGGGAATTTGACCGGAAGCTGAGAAGTGCTTGTGTAGGTAAATTAGTTAAGTTTTATTAAAAAGGTATTTTTAAGTCTAAAATGTTTTCACCTTCCCAACAGCCTTTTTTGTTATATAGACATTTTTTTCTTTTTCTATTTGGTGGTGGTATCATCATAATTAAGGTGTTCAAGTTTTAATTTATAAAGTTTTTGCCAACTGGTTAACTTTGAAAATTTTTTTTTCTTTTTGTTTAAAGCATTTTCTCAGATTCAGATATAGTTAACTTTTCTTTCTTTTTCTCAAATTCAGAAATTTAAGTTTTCTTACAGATCTTTTACCTCAAGTAATTGTAGTTAAATAAGAAATGTTTTTTTTTTTTTTCAGAGACAAAGTCTCTATTGGTTGGCTATTTATCACTGCTTACGAGTGAGAGAATGTATTTTGGAGATAAAAAAAAAAAAAAAATTTAAAATGGCTATATGCAAGGATTGAAGCACAGCAGTTAAAATCCTCTTGGCACAGCCATTTCTTGTGTATAGAAGAAACGATTGGTATTTTCTTATTTCATTAAAACCCTATCATTTCTATTTTTACAAACTGGCCATAATATTTGGGCTGGGGTGAGGTAAAAAGTTTTGGATCAACTAATATAGTTAATCGCAAAACATGTCTCAATATTACGGACAGAAATTGATAAAAAATAAAGAAATAAAAAAACATAAGTGAGAGTAAGGAGAGAAGAAAAAACGTGAAAGAGAGTCAAAGGATTTTGGAAAGAATGGAAGGAAGAGAGAGAAGGTTGGAAGGAAGTAAAAGTGAGAGAGAAAAGATCAGAAGGAAGAAAAAGTGTGTCAAAATGATTTGAGAGAGAGAGAGAGAGAGAGAGAGAGAGAGAGAGAGAGAGAAAAAGAAGATTATGAAGGAAAAAAAAAAGAGGATCAGAATGATTTTGTTCTTTCCTTTTTCAGTTCTACAAAAGGATATTTTCTGTATATTTCATGTCCTGTAGACGATCATTTTCAGGTGAAGAAAAATAAAAAAGTTAAATTATTTAAAACTTACCAGATTTCTATATTTTTAAAATTAAATATTTCAATTTATACAAATTTCTATTTGCAAGAGTTTAGTTTACTTAAATAAAATGAAATTCCCGTATTGAAGCATAGTAGCCAAAGTTCATTCATTGAAATCTTTAGCCATAAGTACAATTAAAAAAAAAATTCTAATAAATACCACTAAAAACAAGAAAATTATTGTTTTTTTTAATTACTTGTGATATTCAAAATTTTATTTAATATTTGATTGTTTTAGTTTTGTTGTCAGTTTATGCAAACCTTTTAAAAAATAACATTATTTAAATATTTAAAACATTAAAATACATTTCTCTTAATTTGAACATGATTTATGATATCAAAAGAATCATACGTTATTATCCAGTTAATGATCTATATATCGTTCAATATATTAGATAATATACTATATTGCTTGTAAAATAACCAGAATATACGCTTAAAGAGTTACCTCCCTTATTACATTTACACAAATTGTCAGATTCTCTCCCTTAGTTTATTGAATTAGCTTTTCCAATAAAGATTTTTATCTTATTCCAAATAAGAAGTTTTTTCATTTTTTTTATATTCAAAATACGATGAGATTAAGTTATTTTGCTTAATTTTCTCTATTGAAGTTAATAGCTTTGAAATAAATTTTATTCAAATGTTTTATTCATAAGAATCTCTTTGTTTGCTAAACTACTTGGCATTGATTTTAATTTTTTTTTTTCTAAAGATTGTGTGTACAATTTACAAAATATGTGTGCATGAGAGCCAATGAAATAAAAAAGTGGGTGGTAGGAGGAAAAACTAGAATAATTTTCTCCATTCAAAAAATATTCAGAAAATAACGTGTTTTCTAGACTGAGTAGAAGTAGACCCTCCAGAAGATGAGTCTTCTGGGTCAAACAAACAAACAAAACTGATCAATTTTTCAATAAATTATATATATATATATATATATATATATATATATATATATATATATATATGTGTGTGTGTGTGTGTATGTATGTATGAGAGAATGAGATGATTTGAATTTGTTTTATAAGCAACATTGTTAGTTTGATACTAAAGAAGGATTGGTGGAGGAGGTATAGAAAGAAAGGAGGTGGGGTGGGTGGGATTCATCTTCAGTCAGTTAACTGTCCAAGTTCTCGGACACGCTGACCAACAAGTTCATTTTGCAGAGTAAACCTCATTTGTGTCTTTCAATGTCTGGCAGTGGTAAATAAACTTTTTGAATTTGTTTGATTTCTTCACGGCAGAGTGGACAAGCCTTGACGTGACCAGCACACATTTTGCAGCAGACCAGATGACCACACGGACAAAGCACAGTTGAAATTGGAGCATCCATACAAACACGGCATGTGAAGGAAACCCGAAGCGTGTGTAATTCCTGTTTTAAACATTCCACCTTTTAAAAATAAGAACAAATGAACACATTAGAGTTTTACAGTTTAAATTTTACCTCAATTTATTAAGGTAACTAGTTGAAGAGGAAGAAAGTGAAAAATAAAAAAAAAATAAAAAATTTTCTTACTTCCCTAGAGAAAAGAAATAGAAGATTATTAAGTGAACAATGTTTGATTAAATACTTTTCACTAATGGAAGGAGGCATTATGAATTGTGTGTAAGCAGGCAACAAAAAGCCAGAAAAAAGAGGGTTTGGTTTGGTTTATTTTATATTATTTGGTTTGGCATATCAACCTCAATGGATTATTTAATGCTGACAACATTTTTAGGATAGATTCATATGAATAGAATATGTATTCTTTGGTTTAGATTGGTTTATTTTGTTTTACGGCATATCAACCTCAATGGGTTATTTAATGCCGACAATATTTTTTTTATTGCTGGTAATAATTTTTTTTCAAAAAAGCATTGTTGGTCATATTTAACTATTTGCCCATAGCTGGGACCCTAACAGGTGCTACAACCCCGGGTCAGGTGGACCTGGGAACATCAGCAATTGAGGTGGTTCCACACTCCTCAAAACCTCCTGATCAGAGGCCTTGCTGCTGGATGTAGTTTAATGTCTTACCCAGGACGCAGATGTAATTTAACTTCTTACCCAAGACGAAGAAACAAAGAGGGAAGTACATTTTTATGGATGTTCTGTTGCATTGATAAGGCATTTTTTGGACAACTTAGGTAAGTGGAAGAGGAGGAGAGAGTTATGACAACTAATAGGTCAATTTGATAGATTTAGTACAAGAGCTGGGCAAAGGTATGTTACTTCCCTGTTTTGGATAAGGGTAAAAGCACTGAGGAGGAGTAGTTTGATTCTTCCATTCTTGAACCAAGACTCTATAGATACATAATTAAGAATGGAGAAAAATATTGTACTGCTGATCTTCCTGCCAGATTTGAAAATGAACATTCAAAATTGTGGGTTTTGTTTTGGCTTGAACATTAACTTTTTGGCATCCATGTTAAATGCACAAATATCTCTAGGATAAGAATCACTGAAGAATTTAATTATTGAATATCACTGAATACAACCAAAGTTCAGATGAAAGGAAAATAAGGTTGGAGAAGATGTGCTTAAAAAAAAAAAAAAAAAAAAAAAAAAAAAAAAAAAGAGAGAGAGAGAGAAAAAAAAAAGAAAAAAAAGAAGAAAAAAAAAAGAAGAAAGATCAGCATTCACAATCCTGGCTTTTATCTGGGTTTGAACACTGGCATTATATATCTTAAAAGTGGTTACTCTTTGATAATGATTTGGGAAGCAGACATTACCTACATATTTTCTGTAAACTTTTTAGTAGGTTCAAGTCAGTGGTTTTATTGCCTTGCTTGGTGAAATTATTAAAAAAAAAAAGAAACTAAAACACATTGGGTTACTGAGTGTGAAAGAATACAAGAAAAAAATTAAAGAGAGAACAATAAAAGAACAAGAATTAAGAAGACAGATGACGAGTGACATTACATTTAAATTTTTGAAGATCAAAGTTGACTGGAAAGTAAGAAGCCAAAAGAGTTCCACAAGCAAGATGTGGGAGAGAAGAAACTGTTAGCATAGGACTTATGATTACATGTAGCCAATTCAATTGTAAAATGATGAGACCTTGCTGCCAATCTAGTACTGTGCTTAAATTCATATAGTCTAGTTACCAGAGAAGAAAGTGATATTTATTTTGTGAAATACAAAAATATGGCACAAGGCCAGATAGGGGGATGGGGAAAGGCTAGTCTTCAAACTGTCTTGTATTTAGACTTCACTAACCAGAATTACTGACTTTAAACATACCAAAATAATCCTGACACCAAAGCAACATTCGTATTACTGTCACCATAATACCTCAGGGTCTCAATGAAGTCTTAAATAGTCCCCATATGCACAATTTGTTTGTGAGGGTGGGGAATATAAATAACAATTTAAAAATTTAACCCCATTAGAACAATTACCATAAAAATATTTATAGCATTAATTTATTCACATAGCACAGGGAAGCTATATTATGATGGTGGAAAAGTGACTGAAACTGAGATGCCAGGTCAGCACCAATAATATTGCAGATTCTATGTATTTTATCAAAAATCTCTAAGTACATAGCAGAAGTACCAGACCAGATATGACAGCAATATTCAATGCAAGGATGAATGGTAGGCTTATAAATGTGTCAGGTAGATTCAGGTTAGTCAAATTTGAGTACAGTTGATCATAAATTAGTTTTTTTTTTTTTTTTTTTTTTTTTTAGAGTGTATATAATGTAAATGTATTTACATTGATTTTACTATACAAATCAAAATGAAGACCATCAGTAATGGTCATGAATTAATGTAAGCATTATTTACAAAATAAGGATCTTAAGTATATATTTTTTTTATCATTAGTAGCCAGATCACATTGGCAAGTGACACTGATGTCAGTAGTGGAGTTGCCTAGAATTTATTAAAAGTTGCTTCTAAAAGAAAATTGTGAAATTCAGTGCTTACCTCTTCTGCTTCATCTTTATTTATTTGTGCTTTTTCATCAGCAAGACATCCAGTTGAGGAGTTCCTGTCATCATTTAATTCTTGGCTCATCATATACAGTTTTCGCCGGACATGATCATGTACTTCTCTGCTTGTCCGTTTGATATCAAATATATAACTTTTACCTGTTTTAATTGTAAGAAAAAAAAAAAAAAAAAAAAAAAAAAAAAAAGAGATTCTTGTAAAGAAAGATACCACACTGAAATTTTTTTTTTTTCTCTTTGATTTAAATTAAATTTAAATAAGGGAATGACTCCTATCTAAAATATAGGAGAAAGCCAGAAGATGGAGGTCATATCGGCAAGATCATTGAATATTGAAATGCATTTCTCCACAAATTATAACAATAATTTAAAATCAATCATTTTCTTACAAAAAAAAAAAAAATGACACACAGCAAGGCACAGGTAATTCGGCTAGTATATATATATATATATATATATATATATATATATATATATGAGAGATGAAAGTAGAAGCACTGAAAGTATTGTTGGGCTTGATTAATGTTTCTTTTTTTTAAAAATTTAATCAATTCCAACATTTTGTTCTTTACAGTTTATATTAAATCTGCCAATTTTGACTTCTTTAAATTTAATTTTTTAGCCTTTGATCAACCAGTACGAGAAAGATTTTCAAATCTTGAAGTGATGCAATCCTTGTAAAAAGTTTAGAATTTGATTGAAGTGAAGATGATTTTTATAATATTCTCTCTTCTTGCTTTCAATAAACAGATTTTCATTTTTGTAGTAACACATTTTTCTAAAGAGAAAAAAAAATTCTATGAAACTGATCCTTTGCCCATCACACACAATTATAGAGACCAAGGGAAGCACTACACATGCCTTTCTCACTATAATAATAATAATAATAATAATAATAAAGCATAAAAAAAAAAAAAATTGAAACCAAAAAAGAAAAAAAATTATTTGCATTAATTTTGTGCATTAATTTTTATAAATGCAAAAAACAGAAACAAACAAACAAAAAAAAAAACAAAAAAAACCCAAAAAAAACAACAAAAAAAACAACAAAAAAAACAAAAAACAAAAAAAACACTAATGAAGGAAAACTAGAAATACTAACCTAAAGACGTGTTTTCATTAAATAATGATACCAAAGTTCCCTTGAGATCTCGACAGAACTGGGTGGAGACAATACTGCGTACTGTATCACATCGATAGAAGGAATGTGTTTCTGTCATACAGCGATAGAGAGCCTTGGCTGCTTTTTGACTGACCAATTTAAAGCCGATTGTGCTGCCTTCTTCACAGGAAGTAGAATTGGGTTTGTTTAACTGGACAAATACACAGCGGCTTGCCAGGGTAGCCAACTGCATCATGTGAAAGTTAATACTGCAAAGAAAGACATTTTTATTTTTAAATGTTGCTAGATTTGAAGTTGCTAAATGGGGAGGGGGAATTTAGGAGTAACTTTAAAAATGTTTGTTACTTGATCTCTTTATAATTTTGGTTTTACAAAAAGAAAAAAGTGCAAGAATTGGGGAGGGGTTAACAAACAAAGGAAAAGGAAAAAAAGAATTGAGAAAGAAAAATGAAAGACTGAGGTTGAGGCGAGATCAGGGGAAGAATTAGAAAATTTTAGATAGAATGAGGTATTTGCTTGTGCTTACCAACCCGTTCAAATCTAGGGTTAATCATTATCTTCTCCACATATTCTCATAAACTATGCCCCTTGCCTCTTACTCTGTAACCCTCTACTTTGAGTGGGTATTGAGCCTTGTACAGAGCAAACAGTATTGTTAAAGAAAGAAAGAACCCCCCACCCAAAAAAAAACACAAACAAAAAACAAAAAAAATGATACATAATGTGTTTGTTTTTTCTATTTGTTATTTTTATAAATAAGTAATTGTTTTGGTTTTTATAACAAAATTACGTTTTTCAAATAAATTTATTCTCTGCTCTGAAAATTGATTTGGATTTGTTTAATACCATATGAACACCTTATGTGTCATTTAATAGCCGAAATTTAATTTTCTTAGGAACTTTGTACTAATATAAGTTATTCTACTTTCACAATTGAATACATGGCAGATGATAGCTTTTATGCATATACTTGTTTGTGTGGAACATGATTACTAGAGGCAGTGGGTGATAAGTATGTTTTATGTTATAGTTTTGCTGAAGTTATATTTTGCAATACAGTTTGATTTCTTTAAGAAATTGTAGGATATTATACTGATTAATGTCATGAAAGTTCTTTTATGTTGGTTGATGTATTGTTGTCAGTTAAGTGCCATATCTTTTGATACATGACTGACAAGGCAGATTTTTTCCTGCAGCAGGTTGCCATTTCTTTCTGTGTTAGACTGAAGTTGTCATTTTACTATAAATATGTATTGTTGGTAATTTTTTTTTTTATATAAAAATGTAATTTTATACTTTCATAGGGTTTTGTTTTTGCTTGAAAGTTTACTGTTTGCCCATACATGGGACCCTAACTGGTGCTACCACCCCAGGTCAGGGTGAATTTGGAAACACACCTCAAAACCTTCAATCTCCTGATCAGAGGCTTGTTGACCATAAAGAGGTAACCACCTCAGCATTTAGATCACACTTAAAGAGTAAAGTGAAGTAAACAATGCTGGCAATAGTATACTTTGAAAATCTAACAAACATAGATTGATAACTATTTCATATACACCATATGACAAAATGTATAAATCTATTGAAGTATTTTCATTACAGGTTTTCTGATAACATTGTAGGACAGACCCCAAATTATTGTAGACCCAAAGTAAGGGACATCATTGCTTGTATATAAATGAAACAATATTTCAAAATTTCATAAAAATCATCTTGACATACAAAAAATACCATTTGTATATTAAATACTTTTTTTTTTATATGCAACTTAGGATTTTGACCAGTACTGGGATTCCATACTTTTTGTGCAAGAATTAGGACTCAAGTTGCTTAAATTTTTTTATCCTTGAATTTAAGTAACTTGGGCATAGTTCTGTTTTCAGGCATTTTTAAGGGTTGCTAACATCAAGAAGTCATCTTTTTGACAAATCGACTATGTTGTGATTTGAACCTGGGTCTCATTGTGGGAAAGTCAACATTTTAACCACTCAGTTACGTGGCTGTACAATTACTCTCTCATTCACATACACACATATATATATATATATATATATATATATATATATATATATATATATATATACACACACACACACACACACACAAGGATTACTACAGATAAAATTTGGCACTTAGCTGATAGATGTTATATTCACCACCTCAACTCTGGAATTTTGTAGACAAAACATTTTGTAATTGTTCTGTCCACTCATCAGGAGTTTTCAGCAATTGACTGCAGATTTTCTCATTTTTCTTATTTTATATTAAGTTAGAAATTAATTCATGTGCTAGTTATTAATGTGAGGTTGATTATATATATATATATATATATATATATATAAATAAAAAGAGAAAAGGTAAACTTTTTGATAGTGTAGTATTTCGTACACCCCTGAGGTACTTTATCAAGGTAAATATAAAGATTTTATTTTGCAGCATATATTTATAAACAGAAGTAATATTGTTAAACTTTAAAATTTAAGAACACTAAAATATTAACGCTAACTGTGAAAATAATGGTAAACTATGGAGGATGCTAAGTGATGTAATTTAATGCCTAATAAACAAAAGTAAGTAAATGTTGATTTTTATTTTCTTATTTATATATACAGTGGGGGGAAATAAATATTCGTACACATAAAAATTGTATTTTTATAAATGTAAAAGCCTTAACTAAAACAAATTTTGTTACATTTTATGTGTAAAGGTACATTTTATTAAAAAATAGTAAACTTAATTCCTATTCTAACAGAAATTAATGCATTTTTTCATTTTAACTAATGAAAAAGTATTCGAACAAAACAAAAAAGCATATTAACTTAATTTAATACTTTATTGAGTTCAACAGCTACCAGTTTATTCCTGTACGTTTCAGCTAATGATTTGCACACATTGAGTGGTATTTTGTCCCATTCTTCTTGGCATATTGTCTTCAAATTCTTGATATTTGTTGGTGCTCTTTTCCCAATTTGAATTTTTCTCGATTGGGTTCAAGTCTGGGGACTGACTTGGCCATTGCAAGACATCAACGTTACTTTCAGCTAACCATTTCCTTGTAGATCTAGTGGTATGCTTAGGATCATTATCCAGTTGGAAAACCCAATTAGGAGGTAGCTGAAGTCTCTCAACAGAACGCATTAAATTGTCTTGCAGGATTTTTTGGTAGCTTTCGGCATTCATCTTGCCATCTATTATTGATATTCTGCCAACACCTTTTGCAGAAAAACAGCCCCAGATCATGATACTGTCACCACCAAACTTTACAGTGTTCTTTGGTAAGTAGGCATCACCGTCCTTTCTCCACACATGATTTCGATAATTATGACCAAACAACTCTATTTTAGTTTCATCTGTCCATAGTACTTTTTCACAAAACGAATATTCTTTATCCTTATGCTCTCTAACGAATTTTAGCCTAGCATCTCTGTGTTGTTTCAAGAGGAGTGGAGTCTTCCTTGGGATGCATGATTTCAGACTGTTTTTGTGTAGTTCATTACTTATTGTACACTTGGTTACTTTAATCCCTAATGCACGCAGATGTTCCTGCAGCTCTTCTCAGGTAACCTGTGGATTTTGTTGGATCTGGCGTCCTAATATCCTTGCTGATCTTAGAGAAATCTTCCTCAGAGCACCTGTTTGTCTTTGGTTTTCGACTGTTACGAGTTTTAAACCTTTCAATGAACGAAGCAATTGTAGTAAAAGGAATATTCAGGTTGTTAGAAATCGTTCTGTAACTGTTCCCATCTTTCCAAAGAGAAAAAATGTGTCGTTTTTGTGAAATAGTCAATTCTTTACCTTTAGGCATTATTAGAACCTTCTCGTAAAACTAGAAATTGCAGAATGCTCTGATAATGGCTAATAGCGTTAACTATAATTACTGATAACATTACTGGAACATTCTAGAATATACTTTTTTCATAATTGATTATTTTATTCTAATAATTGATTTGTACGAATACTTTTTTCACCAGTTAGAATTAAAAAAAAAAAATACATTAATTTCTGTTAGAATAAGAAGTAATTAAGTTTATTATCATTTTTAATAGTATGTGTCTTTATACATAAAATGTGTCGAGATTTGTTTTATTTAAGGCTTTTACATTTATAAAAATACAATTTTTCAAGTGTACGAATATTTATTTCCTCCTACTGTGTGTATATATATATATATATATATATATATATATATATATATATATGGTAAAAATATAGTTTCATGGTAGGCTATATTTATGGGTTAAATTGCTCAATATCAGAGAGAGCATATATGATGACGAGTGTGTTTAAGCATGAAACAGACTGTCTCCATTTTGTGTTGTCCTCAATGTCCACTTTTATATGCTAGAATTCTTTTTGCAATATGCTGATGTGTGTCAAAATTCTCACAGTGTTTAATATTGTTGAACTTATCACTAACATTTTTGTCGAGATTTACAAACTACATTTCGTTCAATTTTGTAATTGATGAAATTTAAATAAGCTGATTTGTTTGGAAAAATACTTGAGAAAATTCCTACTTTGTAGTTTTTACGCACCCTAGTAAAAACCAACTGTACTTTGTACCCCCTTTACCTGTTTGCACTTCTCCCTAAAATTTGGTTTTGATCGGTCAATGTATGGCTATTATAGAGTATGTGACTTCTATTAGTATGTCTAACAGAAGTCACAGAATTTTATATAAAGATATATAGATCTTCTACATAAGTTACAAGTTACCTTACTGCCCAAGGATCTATCAATGACATTTTGAGAAAGAATGTTGTTTTTCTTTAAATTCTTTAAGACAATGTTTAATTTTAATTCTTTTGATTTTTGTAAATCTAGAAGATAGAGCCCAGATTTTTAGGAAAATGAAAATACTCACTTTTCAATGGTGACAAAGTTCTCATCAAAAATCTCCAAGCCTTTTGGCCCAACACCAATTTGGATATTCTGACCTTCACAGTTCTTTCCTTCATGAAAAACCATTCCGTAGTGAGGCAATTTTGAGACAACTTGAAGCATTTTGTATTCGGCACTGCTGCACTTCATTCCTGCCAATTTAAGGTGCTCATTTGCAATCTGTTCTGCAAGGTCAGCAACATTGTCTGTGAGATTTTGTACAAGACTTGTGTAGGGATATGCACTTGCACCATCAACCAGAAGTTCGGCCGGATTTGATGCATCCCCAATTTCAGATTGAGCAATTAGAGCAGAAATGGTCACCAAAACATCTTTGTCTGGAACGTGTAATATCTGATTGATTATGTCTTGTTTTATTTGAAGACAAAACTGGTGCCTGAAATTAAAAGAAGAGAATTAGATGAAGAGATCAAGATAATTTGACACTAGCCAGTGGGATAATCTAGCCAAATGTTTACACTTGCACCGTAATGAGAGAGGTGTGTAATTAAATACATCTTTTGCGCATGGCTCAACACATTTCTGGTTGTGTAGCAAAAAGATTCAAATAGAAAACAATTCACAAACAATGACTTTTCTTCACTAAGACTGAACAATTTATTCACAAACTAATGCATTAAATCCATTACACAAAAACTAGTAAGACTTCTACTGCTATGCTAAAGATATTCCCAGTAATTGGTAATTTTCTATTTTTCTGAAAATGGGTCAGCACAGCCAGGCCACAAAGTCATAACAATGAAGCTGTGAAGGTGTTAATCAAACATGGTATCTCTTGTGTGTGTGTGTGTGTGTGTGTGTATATATATATATAATAAAATTATACAGGGTGGGCCAAAAGTAGACTTAAAGTTGTTTCACATTTTCACAGTTCAGAAACAAAGCTAACTTTCCCAAACTGTTCTTTCAACAAGGTGGAGTACCTCCCCATTATGCTTTGGCAGTAAGGCACTAGCTTAACAAAATCTTTCCAGTGTTGGTCCAGAAGTAAAGGCGGCATCGAATGGCCACCACATTCACCTGACCTAACACCAACGGATTTCTCTTTTTTTGGGGGTGTAGTAAAGAACAAGGTTTATGATAGAAATCCCAACACAGTGGATGAATTAAAAGATTACATCTCAGAAGTATTTATTGAAATTGATGCAGATCAAGATTTGAGTCATGCTGTGTATCATAGTGTTCTACAGAGGTTCAAGGAATATTGCAATTTTGAAGGAAGACATTTTAAGCACTTAAGAGATTAAATTGTGCTAAAAAAAAATGTAAGTGTTAAACAAATGTACATAAACAGTTTTGAACAAATATGATTGTAACAAATATAAATGTAATAAAATGTTTTTAAAAAAAAATGTAAAGTGCATACCTATTAAGTGTAAGCTGAATTTTGAGCAGTTTTTTTTTTGTCACAGAGATAGAAAAATACCTTCATCTCTACTTCCTTTCAGTCATTTTCAGATTGACTACTACAATAGTAATAGTTTGTACATCTTCTGTTAATTTCTTTCTATGTTTAGTCCTTTATACCTACTACTTACCAGTTGAAGATCATTGTTAGCAGAATAATCATTGTCATCATCAAACAAAAATAATTCTACAACAATCCATTCAGGGATCCTTATTTTCAATTACCAACTTTTTCGATTGACTACTTAGTTTTCTGTTTTCATATTCCAAATTTACATTATTCGGACTATTGTCCTCATCCTTGTTGCCATATTTATTATGTTTCAGCTGTTGTACGCTATGGCCTTCCTCAGGTGGTTAGAATGTTGAACTGAACCCTTTATTTCGCTCACTGGGGTAGACTGTTCTAGTTCTACATGCCATGTTTAACACGACGATGGCTGAGGTGTCATTTTTGACACCTTCAAATTTTCAACAAATTACTATGGAATAAGTAGTTTTGGTTCAATGTTGAGGCTTGTGGACAATTATTGAATTTTAGCAAAGATGCTTAACAGACTTAATTCTTTAAAAAATATATTCAGTGGAATAGCTGATATTTTAGGTTTTACCTTGAATGGCCGAGGTGTCGTTTTTGACATCTAGGCTATTTATAGGGTAAATGCATTGAAACATTTCTCACAAGCAATAATACTTGTCTTTATGTCCCCTATCTATCTATACACACATAATATATATTTATATATATAAATATATATATATATATATATATATATATAATCACTTTCTTTCAGTATGAGGTATACTAATATTTGTGAATTTCTTTTCAGACTTGTTATTCCTGACTTGAATATATTAGAGATGGCTGCTTCACGGCGTAATGTAAATAAAGATGTCAAAGGAGATGGCCATTCTAGTGTTAATGGATGTCAGTTATTAGTTATCTCCTGTTAATTCCACTCTCCAAATTCTCCACTGCCTTAACCAGGTATTGAACTCACACTCTTTGGGTCCTGTCACTGGATCTAAACAACACCTTTATTCACTGTGCCATGTGTCCTTGAGGACATCTGTGTATGAATTTCTGGGTATTATAAAACTAATGTCTTTAGCAACCATTTTTACCAGTGCTCATATTGCAATTTTTGCAGTTATCATTCCATCTTTTTTACCAGAGCTCATATTGCAATTTTTGTCTTTAGTCACGTTCTCCTCTATGGGGGTCTTAATCAGGAGAGATATCTGAAGTGTAGTCCAGCTTTTGAAGGTTGTCCTGATGTTATATGGACCACAGATCCTTTGTATTTTCTCTGATAACCCCTTCACATAAGGCAGGCAGACATTTGACATTCCAACCACCTGAAGAAGGCCGGAGCGTACAACGGCTGAAATGTTGTAATAAATATGGCAACAAAGATGAGGACAATAGTCTGAATAATGTAAATAGTGTACATAATATCTCATCTCAAAAATACAGACAGATATTAAATTTGCAAGTTGAAAAAATATTTTAGATTTTCTGAAAGTAAATATTTCAACAAGGCAAATCAAAACACTGAAGTTGTTGGTTTCAATCCAATTATGGGAAAAACACTCCCCTTCCCTACCCAATTCAAAGGCCAAACTATACAAGATAAATAGTCCTGCTCTGCTTTTTTATTTTTTAAGCTTTTTACCTCATGCAAGGGGTTACAGAGAATGGTAGTAAGAGTAAAGAGGCATGAAAGAGGAAAGGATGATTTGGTTTAGTTTGTTTTACGGCATATCAACCTGAATGGGTTATTTAATGCTGACAATTTTTATTGCTGCTAATGTTTTTTCTTCAAAAATTTATTTCTGGAAATATTTTTCCTTGAAGAATTCTATAGCTGGTCATATTTTTTTTCAAAGAATGTATAGCTGTTTGTATTGCTGGTATTTTTTTTTTTTTAAAGTATTGTTGATAATAATTTTTCCTTCAAAAATTATTGCTGGTAATTTTTTTTTTTTTTATTAGAAATTATTTCTGGTATTAAAACCTATTTTTACACAAGTTTGCCCATACCTGGGACCCTAACAGGTGCTACCACCCCAGGTCAGGGTGAACCTGGGAACACCAGCAATCAAGAGGTGGTTCCACGCTCCTCAAAACCTCTTGATCAGAGGCCTTGCTGTTGGACGTAGTTTATCATCTTACCCAGGATGGAGGAAAGGATGAAGGGAAGGACGGTGAATAGATCAAGGCATCTGGAGATGCCAATTAACATTACGTTTGAATAGTAGGAGATTATAGCTATCAGGGAAACAAGAGGAAGGGAGTTACACAGATGGGATTGCAGGATATGAAGCTATTGGAGTAGAAGAGACGGCTACATTTAACCGTTTCGACAGTGAAAGGGTGGGTCTGAGATGCCAACCTAGTGGCACATTTAACTTCATGCAGTTTGGGAACTAGCTTGTCGGAGCTGTTACTGTGAAAGTATCTGTAGAAAAGACAGAGGGAGGCAATGGCACATCTGTGAGGGAGCGACTGTAAATGAGATGCCAGGTCAGAGCCAACTCGTATTAAAGTCAGAATGCTGTGTTTGAGTGGACATATTACTGTTAATTTATCTTGAATATATTGTTTGCTTGCTTTATATTATTCTTTGCCATGTTCCTTTTTTTTTTCTTTTTCTTGTTATTGCAAACTTTGTCCATTCTGTCTGTTGGACACTTCTGCCATTTGTTTACATTTAACAATGGCTACACACGCTACAGAAGTAATTTTTGATTGCAACAAGTGGAGGAGAAGGACAACTCTGAATTCAAAACCATATGTTGCCCTGGTGAAGTACATACTATACAGGTAAGGAAAGGATTGTGAAGTTCACAATGACCGATCTCAACTTTGTTTCTGTTTGAATTTTAAGGCCGAGGAGTTATTTACACTATTTATGTTCAGACTGTTGTTCACACCTTTGTTGTTGTTATTGTACCTTTTAGCAAGTTTATGTTGATTTGGATAACCTACAGGTAATTCTGAACTGAACCCTTTATTTAATCTACGGAGTTAGACTGTTCTCGTTCCACTGCCCATGTCTAGGGATATCTTGTCTAGTTCTTATTTTTAGTATTGCTCACTTATTGCTCGTCCTGTTTCTACCTAGTCCCAAGTTCACACTGCCCAGTCCAGGGATTGAACTCACAATTACTGTGTCACCAAATTCAGTAATCAATGTTTTAATCCACCAGGCTAATGTCTCATAGAACAGGGGTCAGCAACCTACGGCATGCCAAGCAATTGCCAATGGCACACATCAGCAAATGACATCAAGAATTCTGAACCAACAACTACTACAAGACAAAGATATTTAGCTGTTTCAAAAGTGCTCACTCGTTGGACTCACATTAATAATAAAAAAAAAAAAAAAAAAAAATTACTATATATAAAAAAAATACATATATTACTATATAAAATATATTGTAGAACAGGTATATTGACCTTGACTTGTATAAAAATATGTATGCTGTTGGCACACTGAATGATTTTAAAACCCTAAGTCTGCACATAGTCAGCAAAATGTTGCCGACCCCTGTCATAGAACTAGATGAGATATCCCTAGATGTGAGCAGTGGAATGAGATCAGTCTACCTCCATAGATTAATTAAAGTGTTCAGTTCAATCCCTGGCCTGTGCGGTGTGTAGAAACAAAACGAGAAATAACTGAGCAATACTAAAAATAAGAACTAGACGAGATATCCCTAGACATTGGCAGTGGAACGAGAACAGTCTACCTCAATAGATTAAATAAAAGTTTCAGTTAGGAATTCTTTGTAGATGAGGGCAACAGTCTGAATGTGAATTGTGTAAATAAGTCTTGAGTGATTAAACAATGTTAAAAACCAGCAAAGCCATTGAATAAAAGATTTGAATGTTTCGTATCTGTTTAAGTATTATAGTCAGAAATTTCTCAGTGTAATTGTATTGGTAACACTCAAACTTGCTGTTTGCTTAATTTATTATGGAAATTTATTTTTCTTTTTATTACACTATGGCAACATCTGTAAGTCAGGACTAAGATGTCTGTACAGAAGTTAAACGTCAGGTAAACAAATAGATGAAAACAAGGCAATAACTGAGCAATAATTTTAATATTTTCTAAGTTTTAATGCTAGCAGTTTTCTTCTCTTACATTTCTCATATATGGAACTAATTTCTGGATTTTTGCTTACCTGTCAACTATACTCAACAAAAATTTAAATCACGAGACATGGAGGGTGGAACAAGAACAATTTATTTCCTAAACTTCTACATTAAATAAAGAATTCAATTTTAAATTTCCTGAAGGTTAACCAGATTGACAAATACTGACAACCAACCAGAGGGTAAAATGTCCGAAACACTGAGATAAGAAAAATGTTTATCACTACTCTTTCCATGACAAGTATTCTGACAAGATCCAATTTTTAGTTCCACCAATTCAGACTTTTACAGCTAAGACCTGCCATGTCTACAGGATCAAATCACCCCCAATCTTTTTGTATTCTATTTTTAAGACAAAAGTTCTATTTACAAAGCGTCCTCCCAAGAACTGCTATTTTGTGGAATTAGACTTCTGTGTATATGCTTTTTCCTGAACACTACAATCTTAATGTCTTCAAGTCAAGGGTCAATCATTATCTATTGTACTTATTCTTATAATCTACTTCCTTCTCTTACATTCATATTGCACACATCATTCAGTAATTCTTTACTATGTTTGGTGTTTAAGCCTTGTATGAGGTGAACTTTAATATATACAGGAAGAAAAAGTTTGAAGTTTTCTGAAGGTTACTCAGATTGACAAATACCTGAAGAAGGGCTGAAGTCACAATAGCTGAAATGTTAGGATAATAAAAATGGGGACATTAGTCCGAATGTAATTATAAATATTTTTTTTTTCTCTGATTAAATAAGACTTGAAAAAAAAAAAAAAAAAAAAAAAAAAAAAAAAGACATTGATAAGCAGAATGCAGGTGATTATATTTCAAGAAAATCTGAACAAGTATGCTTTAAAGGTAAATAGAACCTTTCTTGATTGTGAAGCTCTTCATAGCTGAGTGGCTAAAGCACACCAGATCAGATGGTGGTTTCTCCTGTAAAGGGGGATACAGGTTCGAATTCTACTGAAGGAAACATTTTCTTTAATAAGTTATTCTCCAGTGTGCAGACCAGTAGTCTGAATAAATACCGTTTAATAATATTTGAAGTTACACACACACACACACAGTGCGATGGGTAAATCGTCACCTGCACCACATAGGGGGCACCATCTGTGAGGAAAAGAGCAATATGATGCAATTCACTTCACTAGAAATTTGGAATGACATGCTAAACTGCTTGCCATTCATACTGGAAGCTCCAATACAAATATTTCAGAGTGTTTGGGTGTCAATCTGAGGACAGTGCAGAAGATTCAGAAAAAGATGGCGGAGTCTAATGGTGATTATGAAAGGGTTTCGAGTGAGCAATAGTGATGGCAATGTTATACCTCCATTCATCCTCCCAGAGGGCCTCAGACTCAATATGGAGGCCTACATCAAGTGCTCTGAGGGGATAGTGCTATCCTGGGTCAAGAGGGTGTCTGCTGGCAACAGGACTGCACCATTTTCAAAACCAATAGGACTCTGCACCATTTTTCAGAAACAAGCTATCATTTTTTTTTCTTGGTTGTTAGCATTTTTTTTTTATTAAGATTTTCTTTGGTCACCTGGCAGGCTTTCTGTTGGTTTTTCCAATATATATATATATATATATATATATATATATGAGAAACAGAAAGAGTGATGGGGTAGGAGTGAGAAATTAATATGTATGTCTGAAATGGAAAAAAAAAAAAATAAACAAATATGAAAACAGTTTGTGTGATGACTGACCGTGTTGCTTCTTGTAACAAGGAATGTGGTGGCACAAAAAACTTGACCTTCAGCAGTAGACTGTAAGGGGGAGGACCTGATATTTGCTGGTCAATACGGTTCCGCATATTCAACCAGAGTTGTTCCCCTTTGCTGCCTCGGTACTCAAGCCCAAAGTAATCAACCTCAAGGATCTGAAGACGTTGAAAGACCTATAAAAGATAAAGAGTAAAAAGAAAAACACCATTATTAAAATCCCAATGGAAATTTTTTCTTTCCTGATATAATTATATCCAATGTATTCACTTCCATTTTTTTTTAAAGTGATTTGAGAAATAAGTGCAGATATTTGATAATATTTAATATTTAACAATAACTAGGAAAAGATGGTGAATGGCATTGGAGCAGAAGTGGGTAGAGAAAGGGAGGTAATCAGGATAAATTCATTAGAAAATAAAGAGAAAAAAATGTTTTTGTTGGTAAATATTGATATAGATTTGTGTATTGCCTTGAATCTTTTTTGCATATATAATTATTTTTACTGGCTGTGGCACTAATACCCTTGAGAAAGGCATGAATCTACCTATCTCCAGTTAGGGAGTAAAATAGTTCAGACTGATCTTTAGCAACCCGTTTAGGGGAAGGACAACTCTGAATTCAAATCTGAAGAAGGAAACCTCTCCATAATTTTCCCCAAGATCAGTTGTTACAGTTCATATTTTAAGTAAAAGCAAACTTTGGAGAGCTATGATCGCTTACGTCCTGAAGTAATATGGCACTTGCTTTATATTTACCATTTAATACACAAAGGGATCCCCCCCCCACCAATCATCAGTGGTTGATATTGGAATATTCGTTTAATATATTTTTTCTGAATTTCTGGGATGAGGAGTTATTATTTACATTATTTACACATTGTGTTAATAACAAGATTTGGACAAGGTTTCAGCTGTTGTGCCTGCTGGTCTTCTTCAGATGCTTGTCAATGCAGATAACCTACAGAGAATTTCAAACTGAACCCTTTATTTAATCTACAGTGACTAGGTGTTTTCATTTTGTTGACCATGTCTAGTTTTAATGTTTTTTTTTTTAGTACTGCTCAGTTATTGTTCACTGTTTTCACCAAGTCCAAGCACACACTGCCTGGGATTGAACTCACAATTACTATGTCACCAAATTCACAAGCCAACACTTAAATCCACTAAGCTATTGTTCTGGTTACAGCTCACAGTGAGAAAAATTACATGCATTTTTTCTGTAATCAATTCACCCCAAGCAAGGCAATAAAGTCACTAAAGTGCAAGGATTTACAGAGTGTAAAATGAGAAAAAGAAAAATATTAGCAAGAGAGAACAATGAAAGAAGAGGAATTAACAAGTCAGAAGATAATGATTGCATTTAAAATTTTAAAGATCAATGTCATGTTAACTGAAAATCAAGAAGTTGGAAGAAATTTCCACAATTGAGATGTGGGAGCAAAGAAACTGTTAGTATAGAACTTATGGTTACATTTAGCAATTTCAACAGTAAAATGCCAATCTAACTGCCAATCTAGTACTGCACTGAAATTTGTGACGTTAAGGTACCAAAGAGAAAAGCTCATCAGAACAATTATTGTGAAAATATTTATAGAAAAAACACAGGGAAGCTATGTTACAATTGTTACTGAAGCCAAGATGTCAGGTCAGGATCCATAACATTGCAGATTCTGCTTCATATTTTATCAAGAATCTCTAAATATATAGCAGACGCACCAGACCAGATGTGGCAGCAATATTTGATGCATGGATGAATGGTAGACTAATAAATGTGTAAGATAGATTCTGATGATAAAATTGTCTAATGTGCTCATGAAAATTAAATCATGACTATGTATAATTATTAATAAAGTTCAATAATAAAGTTCAATAAAGTTTTCCCACTCCAAGAGAATTTTTGTGTTTTTTCTTCCATACTTATGATTCACAAACACTTTGTTTGGCTTTTAAAAAATCTGCTACTTCATATATTCCAACAATTACAAGTAAGTGAATGTCTCTAGGCCTGTGGCCAGAGTGTTTTGGGTGTGTGTGTGTGTGTGGGGGGTGGAGCCTTAAGAATTTGTAAAATTGAAATTAATTCATATCATTTTCACAGCAGGAGGCAGGGAGTGATTTTCTGTGAGGTCCCCCACTTCTCAACCATACAGTGGTTATTTCACTCCAGTTTAGACTATGGTAAATATTTATTTGCAAACAAATGATTTTTTTTATATTTTTGTTTACAATCATTAACATAAAAACAATACATTTATTTTCCCACCCAAATAAGTTTTAAATGATAAAAAAAAAAAAAAAAAAAAAAAAAATTAATAACCAAAAGTTTACTTGGTCACTAAAGCAAGGAATGCCATGCTTCTATGTTTTGTGACACTTCAAGACATTGGTGATCATGACGCCACAATTTCTTGTCCTTTGCAGTTCTTAATAAATTGTTTTTGTTATCTCTCTTAAACTCTGGAATCCATTTGCTCAAGTTCACTAGGTAGGTTGTGTGTTGTTTTCCTCAACTCCTCTTGCCTTCAATCTGTCCTGAGAGTATCTAATTTTCCAAGCCCCCTCTCCTCATTATGTCCCTTACAAAATTTCAAGTACCTCTTTCATATGTTAAGTGCCCTTTTTGTTTTCATTTTCTCTAAAACTTTACCATTATTCACATGTTCAGTCTATGGTATTCTCAGCTTCTGTAGAACCACTTTTCTGTTGCTTCCACATCTTTTTCATTCTGTGATGAGATTGTCCAGCATTCACTAGCATATAGAAAGACTGATATTATGTAACCATTCAGTACTCTTTTCTTCGTTACTAATGAACTTTTCCTTTTTTTAATACGTTGCTTAGCTAAGTATCAAGAAACTGGAAAACATTTCAATACTACGTATTAAGAAACTGGAAAACATTTCAATACTACGTATTAAGAAACTGGAAAACATTTCAATACTACGTATTAAGAAACTGGAAAACATTTCAATACTACGTATTAAGAAACTGGAAAACCCGGACACTGTTTTTTCACTTGTTCTCTGTTTAGTTGACTTATAGGGTTTACAGAAAACTGAAAACACACAAAGGTAAAGAAGGGTAAAAAGAGTATATTTAAGTGTAAGAAATAATTTTTAGAACGCTTAATGTTCTTTTTCATATTGTATGTTGATATGTTTTTCAGAGTTACTTTTAATCTTTCATCGAAGTTTAAATAACTTGGACTGATCTTTGTCGGTTACTAATCATCGTCTTTCTTTATCTGCTCGAGATATTGATGTCAAGGTAAATAGATTGATGCTTCCATCTTCTGAATAGAGAAGAAAAAACTGGGGACGTTGGGTGAGATGGTTAGGGTAGGTGCCAAAGCAAAAGGTATAGATTTCATACCTAACAATACAAATGGCTCCATCAAACTTTACAGAGATTAGATGAGATCAATGACTGGATTGGGATTAACAAGCAGATTATCTAATAAATGCTTTGCTTATCTTAGATGATTGGCAGCCAAATTTGGCAAGGAGACAATGTTTTAGATATCTGGGAATGGAGGTATAGAAAATTTGGGACAGGTGAGAGAAACAGACAAATCTATTCGTGTAAAGACCAGTCAGGCAGGTACAACCACATTTTTGTTAATTAGAGGCACATTGGATTTTTTTTTGCTTGGTAATTGTGGTTGATATTGTTTCTTATCACTTCATCTTGATTTGTTTAGTCTGGTACAAGGCCATGGGGTTAGAGTGCTCAGTGATTATCATGTCCATGATCAATGGTGAAGTTATTGAAGATTTCAGAATTTTTGGCCTATGATAGGGGAAATATTAAGATTTGTTTAATCTGGCACAAGGCCTTGAGATTAGAGTGCGCATTGATTTATGAGCAATAGTACGTCAGACTAGCCTGATCCTCACTGCTCTGTAGTCAGCACTCAAATTGGTATTTATAAAACTTAGTTTGCCACTATTCCATGCCATCTGATGATGACAATAAAATGGCTTGTGAGATAATCCCACAGAGAACAGGATGACACAATGGCAGTTTTTTATCAGGTCAGCCCCATTTACTGCTGTCACTTTACATAGAACAATGTATTCCAAAGTTCTTTTCATTAACTATTGCTTACAAAATTTAAATTGTTAAATCCCATGAGGCCTTTTTTCTTTTTTTATTAATATTCATCCAATACAAAGCCTAAGAGCCACACAAGGTAGAGGATTACTGTGTGGTGTTGTATGTGCAAAAGAAAGGTCAAGAAATGAAATTCATGTGTCTATGCAGGCAAGACAACGGCTAACCCCAGACCCAGAGAAGTCAAGATTGTAGTGATTGGGAAAACACAAGAGAATGAACATATTAAAGGAGGAACCAGAAACCTAAACAGGAAACAAGAGAGAAACCCATACTCCTGTTCAAAAGGTCGAGAAAGAGTGAGAACCAGACGAGTGGAGGACTTATCTACTCCTATTATTCGTTGAATTGTTGAAAAGTCTGAATATCTGATGTTAATGCAATTAACTTGATTTACAGTCAACGATGAAATTATTCATACACCCATCAATTTTGAATATTTTTATACATTTCTCAGAATTTAATGTCCATATGATGCCGGAATTTTTATATGTTAATGAGCACAAAAAAAGGGAAACGAATAATTTTGTCTTTTCCTATTTTGCCTGTCAAATTTGTTGTATTTAACCTATTGTTCTGAAAATTGAGTTCTATATTTCCTTTTTTGTGCTTATTAACCCCCCCCCCCCCAAAAAAAAAAAACTGGCATCATACAAACATTAGATTTTGAGAAATGGATAAAAATATTCAAAATTGATGTGTGTATGAATAATTTTGTTGTTGACTATCTCAAAAACTACTGAAGATCAAATATTACAAATTATTTTACATGAAAGTCAACAGATTTCTTTTCAAATGATACCAATTTTAGCCTCTTTGGTATTACTGGTTATGAGATATGGTTTTGGAAAAACTGCAGCTGTAGAATTTTGGTACCTTTAATTGATCATGCAACAGGTGATAGCGATGTGTATTAAAATACAGTACTACCTCGTTGCACGTCTATTCAGGTGTTCCCAAACTAAGTGTGTGAAACTTGTGGGTACATTTGGGTGTTTCTGGCCTTAAAGTGTTAAAAAAAATTTATTCTGATTAATGACTATTCAAAATGCATAAAATAT